TTTTCTTTTTTTTTTTTTTTTTGTGCGGCTTCCCCCCTTTAGGTTCTTAAACTTGGTCATTAAGTCCACATAAATCCTTAACTTAAATTTTAATATTTAGAAATTTTGGGATGTTATAATTATACTTATCAATCTTGACTCCATAGAGTCTTAATTTAAAAATACAATCTTTCAATGAATATTTTAAAAGATTAACAGTTGGATTTAATGTTTTGTTAATAAAGATCATATATATCAATTTTCAAATTAATTCATATTTAACTAATGTTGCAAAGGTGTCTCTGGTCAACAAGTCAAAGGATGATGTGAATGTTGACTAGGACACTGTGTGTAAAGATTGGGAAGGTCCTTATGACTTAATGCTTACTTAATGCTTTGAACAAATCTAAATTCAGATTAATTAATTGCATTAAATTAATCCACACGTGACTTGAGTGTTTTCTCTCAACTAAGAGAAATCACTTGTTCTAAGCATTACCTTTTCATTGTTTTTGGTTCTTGATTTTCCTATTGAGAATCTTTGATTCCTTTTGATTCTATTAAAGCTTCTTCTTTTTTTCTTTTTCATATTTGAATTTGATTATGTTTCATCAATGTTTTCTTTAGATTGTCATTTTCTTCTATAGTGGTGTTTAGAGGGTAGTTAGGGTTAGAAAATGGAGGATTATTTTGAGATAGTTCTTTATGAGAATCAAGTTATTGAAGCAATTGATCTAGCTTTGAGGTTTCTAGCAATTGGAAAGATTGTTTTGGAGAAGATCTCAAATGTTCAAGATGTAATTAATTGACTACATAGTTACTAATCTATTTCAAAAGCTCTAATAAGTCAAGAGTTTGGAGATAACATTTATGACATCAACTTTGCGAATGTAAAGTTGATGCGAAGAGCGATCAATGAGTCACCATGGCCTATGCTTGGTTGTTATTTTGGCTTGTAAAAATGGCCGGTTGGGAGAATGGTGCAAGAGATCGAGTTTTACAAAGTGAAATATTGGATCCAATTACATAATTTGTCGATGAGCATGTTGAAGAGCTTTAATATTGAGAGACTTATAGAAAACTTAGGACATCTAATTAAGTTGAAGATCCATTAGTGGATGGTGTTGGAAAAGGTTTTTTGAGCCTGAGAGTGGAGGTTGATAAAATAAATCCTCTTAAATAGGGTTTTTGACACCTAGAAGGGAAGAATGATGCATTTGGGCAAAAATTAAGTATGAGAATCTGTCAGATTTCTATTTTTCTTGCCATTAACTTGGTCATAAATGATCAAGAGTTATGTTGTAGATGTGGCAACTAAAAGTTTTTGAGAGCTAATATTCTATTTTGGTCCTTAGATGCGAGCACTTCCAATGAAGCCCTTGTGTGAGATTTGGAACGAAAGAGGTGGTAGAGTTTCCCACCAAGATTTCATGGGAGGTTGTTTAGGGGCATGTAAAATAGTTGAACTTCACACACAAGTCAGCATTAGACGTGTGGTCCCACCAATGGGTGTGGAATCTTAGACTCATGCTAGTTGTTAGGTGGGCTAGTAGTCTAACTTAGACTCACAAGATACATGTCAACAAGGTGCTACATCAAATATTAATATTTATGGGACAAAAGAATGCTCTAAGTTTAATGAATCTAAAAAGGAGAACAAAGGTAAAGTTTTGGATGGCAAGAAACCAAAGATTTTCGTTTATGGAGGAGGATCATAGATCAACTAAGATGATGGAAGAAATAATAAGGAAGAGGAGGGAGGATTATGATCTAAACTTAATAGTAGCATGTACAATTTATGTTGATTTTTGCATTGATTTTCTATTCAAAAGAAGCATGATTCTTATTATGAGATTAATTGTGCTCAATCCATGATTAACAAGAGCTTCTTTTTTTTTTTCTTTGAGTTCTTTAAGAAATCCCCATTACTCAAATTGATAGGTCTAAAATAAGTTGTCTTGTTGTTATGATGTTAGTTAAGTTTCTAGATAGGTTACAACTTGAAAGGAAGTGGGATGGTGATTTGGTGAGTGAGGGAAGGAATTTGAAGTGCAATAACGTGGAAATTTGAAGATGACAAGAAAAGATATAGAGGAAATCAGTATGATTGACATAAGGAAGGGGACAAGGGAGGCACAAGTGAGTGGGGGATGTGAGATAAGGCTTTAGTGGATATCACAATTCTCTTTAGGACTTAATGCTAAAACAAGTCCTTACAAAAAGGTAGGAATGAGGAATGATAAGAAAACAAGGAAGAGGAGCGTATAAAAGAAGGTTGTCCCAAAGAAGTGGGTTCAATAAAGAGTTGGATACCAAAATGGAGGTCATAATTATATCTAAGGGTGGTGGTGGTTGTACCTTCATCAGCCATCATTGAGCCATGAGTTGTCTAATTTGGAATTCTCAAGCTATAGGCTCTCTCTTGTCAATTCAAACTTTAAAGGAGCTAGTTAGGAAGTTTAGACCTATTATTGTTTTTTAATGGAAACAAGAAATAGGAGAAGCAAAATGGAAAGAATAAAATGTTTGTTTTTTTTTCCCCCTAATTTTGTATAGTAAAACTCTCATTAATCATAGACAAAGGGTTCTCATTAGAATAGATCTTCATCACTAATATGAACAATATGATTATATTCCATTCTAGTAGAACTCCTGTAAATAACTGACAAAGGGTTTTTACCACAATAGCTCTTTGTCACTAATACAATCAATGGGCTTACATGTGTTTTAATCTAGTGGATCATAGACAAAGTTAAGGGTGGGCACAATACAATTATGCCATAGTAATCACAATTCCATTATGTCATAATAACCACAATTCCATTATGTCATAATAACCACAATTCCATCATTTCACAGTAACCACAATTGTTGTGCCATTTGGCAAGCAACGACATGGCAAGATAATATGGGGGTATATTAAAATGCAGTAATGGTAATTACTGTTAGATCAATGGCATGGTAATGGTAATGAGGTCTCATTACCATAGTTGCCATTGCAATTGATTATTTTATTTTATTTATATATTTTTAAAGTTTTAATGTTTATGACCTTTTATCTTTATTTAGTTTAATTTTTTAATAAACTAATTAAGACATTTAAGATATTATAACATTCTAAGTTAAAAACGCTAAAGCAAAAACTATCTTCACCATTTCATTCTTTATTTTTACCACTTCCTTATGCCTCTCTCTCTCTCTCTCTCTCTCTCTCTCTCTCTCTCTCTCTTGCTTCTTGCTTCCCTTCACTTGCATTCTTTCTTTCCACAAACAACCCTCACCCCACATCCCTAGCCCATGAGCTTGTTATCAATCCTTTTTCATTTTTCTTCCCTTCATTTTTAACTCAAATTCAATCTTGTTACTGATTTTTGTGTCTTTGTTGTTGAACACTTTGGATATCTCAAGACAATGACTACACCAAAACTTGTTTCCATTTAGGCCATGCTCCAAAGATCCAAGAATTTTTTTTTTCCTTCTGACCAGTCAAGTTCCAAGTGCATTTGAAAATGGTTGAAATGTTGCTGAAATAGATATATACCATAGTAGTAATTGGCCCACATTACCATGATGAACAATTGGTTGTTGCCTACCACCTTTCTTCCCTTGGCATGATAATTGCACAAGCGATCCAATACCACAATTATGGGTTACTTCCAAAACCAATGGTTGGCAACCATGTTGATCATTTACCCAACCTTAGACAAAGGATTTTTGTCACTAGCTTCCCATCACTAACAAGGATAATGGAATCATATTTAATTCAAAGTCCTCTGCTATCATAACTCAAATTTTTAATAAAATTTTATTTTTTTAGTTTTATCATTATTTTAACTAATATGTTTTATTTTTTGCTTTCATTATTAGGATTGTGAGCAAAAAAAAAGGGGGGGGGG